CCCCGACGAAAATCCACGATGATCTCCTCGATTTTTCCTCTTCTTCTTCTCCTTCTTCTCTTCTTCTTCTCTTTCTTCTCTTCTTCACTCTCAAGAACCCTAACTTTCACTCTCTTAAAATGGAACAAAATGATCCAAATATCATCCTAACACAACAATATATCCTCAAAAGAATTAGCTAGGGAAAAGACCAAAACGCCCTTAATGATTCCCGGACGGATTTTCTTGTCAACTGCCCAACTTTCAAAGGGCCATAACTCGCTCATAAGAACTCGGAACTGAGCAAACTCGGCGGCGTTGGAAAGATCATTCCACAAGCTTCAAAACCATAACTGGAACTACTCCTAACTCATCCTGAGCTGGAAGTTATGACTGCTCAAAGTTGGTCAAAAACTCACATTTTCCATACTTAGCCAAAAAAATCCTTTCCAAAATGAAAATTTTCAAATTTCAAGCCTCTTCTTAGCTATTTCAAATTTTCGGATGTTACAAGTCTTCTCAGAGAACTCAAATGGATCGGAACCCTCCCATCGACACAAAAAACGGAGGAAACGCACAAGCGGTAATCCATTTTCTTCTTCTTCTTATTCCGTTCAAGATTCAAACTTTAGACCCATTGTTCTGCGATTAGAGCTCATCAGTAAAATCCTCTTAAGGCTTCCGGTGAAGCCCTTCTTTCAATTCAGGTATGTTTCAAAAGGCCGGCTTATCTCAACCCCTCTTGTGATTTGGTGAATTAGCCCTTTTCAACAATGAGGAGAACAAATGGAATGTCAAATCAAGAAATGTGGCTAGAGGAGAAATGAAATTGTATGCTTGTGATTCTTGGTTTTGGCTACAGGAGAAAATAACGAAGGCCATATTCCAAATGTGGAGGTCTTGAAAATTTCAAAGGGGAAAAAACTCATTGAAAAATATGAAGATTGGTTGTTGGATCTATAAATTCTGGTATGGAAATTGCTTTTGATCTTTGAAATTATGGAAGTCGCACATCAATTGTTGTTAGAAGTCTCTATTTTGTCTCTACAATTGTTACATGTTTTTATTAGTTTTAAATATGTAAGTTAATTGGTCAAACCATAAACATAATAATATTATGTTTCTTTTAGTATAGTTTTTTTGTCATCTAACTTATCACCATCATGATTTGCAATTATTAGTCTCCTCATGACGTCTTGATTCTTTCAAACCCAACACCTTCTTTAGTGAAATCTACTACTATTTATATTATTCTAGCTGCTATTACTCTTGTCCCGTTGCTAACGTCTTAGGCAAAGTCTTTTTTCCTTTTGCATCTGGGACAACGTACTGGTCCAGGTATGTGGTACTCATTTGTACCTGGTACTACGCCTGGTGTTGTCCAACCTGTTCTGCTAAATCACTACAGTTGACACGAGTCCGAAGAAAGCCTATGCATGAGTTAGTTGTAGTACAAAATTCATGGTATCTACATCAACTTGGGATGTCAAATAAGCGGATTGAATAAATACATTTTCTAACTATGCTGCAATTGTAAAAAGATGACAAACAGCTCTAAAACTAGTAGCCTTGTATTAATGAATTTTGTCAGCTTAGAGAAAACTTCTCAAACCAAGCACACCAAAAATTTACCTAAGTATACTACTGAATAATCATTTTTCAAACTTCCCTTTAAAGCTGGAATTTCATTACAAGCACTAACAATATCAGATATATGAAAGAAATTTACGCGTATGTAAGAAATAGGGAAACACAAAATATACTATATATAATTTTTCTTCCCATCTAATTTTTCCATATATATTAGGGAAGAGGGTCGAAAATACCCCTCAACTTTGATTTATTGTTTGACTTTACCCTCGCCGTTAAAATAAAGTTAATTTTACCCCTCCAGTTATTAATTTCACCAAATTTACCCCTCATTAGACGGAATACCCAAAATTGACCCAAATTATCCGAATTTAAAAAAAAACCCTATTTTCTATTTTTAACCCAATGCCCCGCCCCATTTAGAATAACCCGATTAACCCTATTTTACCCATTCTTCCAAATTTCCTTTACCCATTTACCCATTCTCTCTTTGAATACATTATCTCCTTTTCTCCCAAACTTTCCATATAACCCAATGCCCTTTACCTAAATTTTCCTCAAGTTAAAAGGAAGCTCAAGCATAGAACCAGCAAAAGAGGCCACTAAGATGCAGACACCCCTTAAGATGAAAGGAGGCTCAAGCTTAGAACCAGCTAAGCATTTGAATTCTCGGAGGACAAATATTACTGAAGATCATGATTCAGGGAGCTCTGGATCTAGAAAGAGGTCTAGGTCCAGCACAGGCGAGGAATCTGATGGCCATCCAGATGAAACCCAGAAATTCGAAAGGCATATTGAAAATAAAAGCAGCATTTCAGCAAAAAGTTCCCGGTTGATGAAAAACTTCAGAAAATTGGAGGCAGCTTATTTCATGACGAGACGCAGGGTTATTAAAAGGGACAAATCTATGAGAAGTTAATGGGTAAAGGGCATTGGGTTATAGGGAAAATTTGGGAGAAAAAAGGAGATTATCTATTCAAAAGAGAGAATGGGTAAATGGGTAAAGGAAATTTGGGAGAATGGGTAAACTAGGGTTAATCGGGTTATTCTAAGTGGGGTGGGCATTGGGTTAAAAAATAGAAAATAGGGTTTTTTTAAAAAAAATCGGATAATTTTGGTCAATTTGGATCAATTTTGGGAATTCCGTCTAATGAAGGGTAAATTTGGTGAAATTAGTAACGAAAGGGTTAAAATTAACTTCATTTTAACGGCGAGGATAAAGTCAAACAATAAACCAAAGTTGAGGGGTATTTTTGACCATTTTCCCTATATATTATTCAAATGTAGGTGCACTATTTTTTTAATCAATAACTTCAAAGCAGTAATAACCTTCTCAACAATTTCCAATTGAGGCGAATAATAAGTTTTTCTTTTTTCACCAAAACTTTTTTTTTCAACTGAAGCTGAAGATTGGAATGGAGAATTATTAGGAGTTCCATTATTTTTGTCTCCAACTAGTTCAACAACAATAATATATTAGTGTTATCTCACAAACGAGTTTGATGATCAAAGAGTCTCAATAAAATTATTGGCCTAAGACAAAATTCTTATAAGAGATCTCAAATATGTATACATCGTTATTATTTTAATTATGGATGGTATTTTTTCACTCAAAAACCTTGATGAAAATTATCAGCCTTAATGAATGGGGTATGAGCTGTAATTATTTCTGAGAAAAAATAGGTATTTCCGGAATTACTTTGGGTTTGGACTTTGGGTAAGAACTTGTAATTTTTTTGAATTTTATGGTCCATTTATGTAGTTTCCCCTATGTATTTTGAATGGTTAACTATTTTATATTTTATGTAACTTCTAAATATTTGAATTTTATTTCAAAATAATTAAAAAATATATGTGAATTAAGTATCAAGTATTAATTAGTTCGACTCGTATTAGGAATCAACCAAAACAAATTAATAAAAGGAGTTTTATACGAATAAGGTTTTAGTATATGTACAAAGAGATTCATATAAGTAAAATCGATTCTCAATTTTCATCAGCAACGATGGAAAATTCGATTCTTGATCTGCCAACCGAACTGGTTATTGAAATCCTCTTGAGGCTTCCAGTAAAATCCCTCTTGAAATTTAGGTGCGCTTCAAAATCTTGGTTTGCTTTGATCTCTAGTCCTGAATTTGTCAAAACTCATCTCAGCTTAAATGCCAATAACAGCGAATACACCCGCCATAAGGTTATGATGTTTGAACGTACTGTGTATGGCTTTCGAGATTGTAGTGTTAACTCTTTATTTAATAACGCATTTAACGAGGCAAACGACTTGGATTATCCCAGGCAATTTCCATGTGGTGTTTATATTGTAGGTTCTGTCAATGGATTGATTTGTTTTGTTAGTCGGGAGAAGGAATTGTTTCTATGGAATCCATCAATTAGAAAGTACAAGAAGTTGCCTAATCCTAAAACTAAAACTACTTTTGGGTATTGCATCAAGCAATCATATGGTTTTGGATATGATGAGTTCCATGATGATTATAACATAGTCGTTATTTTTGCGAGATATGACTTTTCACTTCCAATTGAGGTAAAAAGATATAGTCTAAAAAGTGATTCCTGGAGAACGGTTGATAATTGTGCAAGTATGGTGCCACTACAGCAGTCAGGTAGGTTTGTGGATGGGAAACTTCATTGGAATACTATTATTGGTCCTAAACTGTGTATGAAACGAAGCATCATTTCTATTGATTTGGCTGATGGGAAATGGGGAGAGATGGAACTACCCTGTTATTGGAAAGGAGCAAGAGGTGTGGTTTTGAGCTTGGGAGTGTTGGGAAGTAATCTTTCGGTCTTGTGTGATTGTGACGACCCATATATGTTAGATGTTTGGCTTATGAAGGAGTATGGAGTTAAAGAATCTTGGACGAAGATGTTTACTATCAAGATGCCGGATGATCAATTGGTGTATGGATATCTTGGGCAAATACGTTTACACTTGGCAAGTGGAAGTGAAATTTTGGTTGTATTTGGATCAACTTTCATGATATACAATCTAAAGGGTGACCCGCTCAGATCTTCAAAGGTTATTAACTCTAATAATTGGGATGAGGCGGAAATCTACATTGAAAGCCTAGTTTGTCCTTTTTCTGAGGTAGGGACTGAAGATGCAACAAAAATGGGACTGAGGTTGTGAAACAACGAAGTAACAAATAACTTGTAAGAGTAGTTTCTTGTCAAGTGTTGTTGAATTATGCTTATTTTATAAACTATGCTGCCTTGTTAGTCTTTTTCCCTTATGCTCCATTTTCATGTAACAATAATTTTGTCTTCAACTTCATGCTAAATGGGCCTAGAAATTGTTTCTCTTATTGAGCAGATGTTATGCCTCTAGACAGTGTAAAAAACAAAGAAGCGCCAAGGACTTGGAAATCTTAGCTTAGGTCCTTGTTAGAGTTGTTTTTGATCTAGGACGATTTCATTAATTTTTTCGACTGAAACAAACTTAACAAGGGAAAACAGAGGAACTGAGGATACAACAGGAATGAAGGTTGCAGAAGCTCAAATGGACACAATTGTTTAAGTAATGACCTGAAAGAGTTCCACTTTATTTATTTTTTGCTCAAGGGTTGTTCAATTTTGATTCTGGAATAAAGACATTGCATATTTAATGGACACATGCATTTACACCACATCTGCTTGGAGATCTTGTTTGTCCTTTTACTTCCTACATGAAAAAAACAACTTTTACGAGAACAATATTTTTAAATTTTGGCATGAGATATATAGTTTCGCCAAATATCGTACACTTTGAAAAAGCACAAGGGTGATACTACCCATGCCAAATTCGAATGGAGGCCTCAGAAGTCAGAATGAGTTATAAGAATAAAAAAAACATATTGCCTTAGAGTCTGATGAGTTGTAGACAAAAAACATGATATTTACGTAGGGACAAGGACCATTATTTGCGGATAATGTATCAAATTAAAAAAATCTAGCTTAGTTAATTAATCTTTTTCACGTATATAATATATATATGTTAGTGGTGGAGCCAAAATTCTACCAAGAGGTGTCAATATATAAAGAAGTAGAATCACATAGGAGCCATGAAGTGTAAATATGTAATATATATACATAAAAAAGAAAAAAAATCTAGCTACATAGTATTTTCTGACGAAAGATTGTCGGTCGACACCCCTCAACTACATGTGGCTACACCACTATATATATACTAATTTGACTTTTCACCAACGTAATAATAAAATCTTTACAAAACAAAACAATATATTTTTTTTAAAACAAAATATAATGGGGATTAAAAAAAATCTTTCTTTTTTGTCCCTAAAAATCTCTCTTTTTTAATCTTTTTCCTAAAATAACTCCCCTCAATATTTTTACTTCCTTATCTTTCTCCACTAATCTAATCTTTTTCCTGAAATATTAGATAAGCAGATTCTCTTTTTCTCTCTCCTCCTTTTTTGTTCTAAATTCTTTCTCTTTCCTATTTTTCTCTCCCTCTCTCTCTTTCTTCACTCGTCTCTTTCTCCTTTTTTTTTTCTTTTCTTTTTTTTACCATTTTCTACCTCCATTTTATTTTGAGTAAATTTTAGGTTTAGCAAACATAAAAATCATATTTGTATGTTATAGCTATAGTTTGTATAATTGCGATCCATAGCAAACATAAAGTTTGCTATGGCTATTAATATGTATATTTTGGTATACATATACATATATTTCAGTATTTGTATATTTCGGTATACAAACAACAAATTGAATTCAATATTATATATTTCGGTATACAAACAACAAATTGAATTCAATGGTATACATATACATATATTTCAGTATTTGTATATTTCGGTATACAAACAACAAATTGAATTTGTATAAAACAAACTAAAAATAACAACAATTAAATTCGGTATTTGTATATATATTTCGGTATACAAACAATAAATTGAATTTGTATAAATAAACTAAAAAATAGTACTTGTATACCGAATGGGTCATATATACAAACAACTGTATACCGAATGGGATTAATATACAAACAACAAACTGAATTTGTCTAAACAAACTAAAAATCTGTATTTGTATACCGAATGCGTTATGGGTCCCGTCAGATGGCAAAAACATGAAATGTTTGCTGCGAATTACAAATAAAACAAACTATAGCTATAGCATTTAATTTCAATTAATAGTTTGTTATTTCATACAATTTTTCCTTTTGTTTTTCAAAAATTTTCTCTGTTCTTTTTTATTTCTCTCCCTACATTTAAAAAAAATCATTTTTTACATGAATGTAGGCCGGAACATATAATCAAAAATTACATTTATCATCAATGTAATTATTTATTTTTTAAATTTATTTGGTTACAATTTGGTATAATTCATTAATTATTGTAAAATTGAATTAAATTAATTTGAACTTGACACCAAGGCTAAATCATATTGTATACCATGTAAATTAATTTGATGATACTAAAAAGTTGGTACATATTTGACTAGATTATGGTGTTATATAGGGTTGTAACATATAATTAAAATCAATTTTACCATCAATTAAACATCAATATCTTTTATAGTTCTAAACCAACATATCACCAGAAAATCAGTCATATCATACATCAAAATATATACACTATAACATATTGCAACTTTAAATCCAAATCACCATTATTTTTTAACCAACAAATCCACCAATTATTTTTAATTGTTATTGTTATTAAAATTTGAACTTGACACAAAGGTTACACCACATTCTACACCATGTAAATTAACTTGGTGATACTAAAAAGTTAGTACATATTTGATTACATTATGATGTTATGAACATATAACTAAAATCAACTTTCTCATCAATTATAAAATCTTTATAAAATCGGTCGACACCCCTCAAATACATGTGGTTACGCCACTATATATGTAGAGAAAACCTAACTATACAATTTAAGCACCCAAATTACTCATTTATAAAAGTAGTTTGACTTGTAACATAGCAATAAAATCTTTATAAGACCAAACAAAATAAAAATAAAAATAAAAACAAAATAAAAACAAAAAAATACCAAAATATAATAAATGGATTAAAAAACGTTTTCTTGACCCTAAAAAACTCTCTTTTTTAATTTTCTTCCTAAAATATCTCCCCTCAATATTTTTTCTTCCTTATCTTTCTCCTTTTTTATAATTTTCTTCCTCAAATATTGAATAACCATATTCTCTTTTTCTCTCTCCTCCCTTTTTTTTGAAATTTTTTACTCTTTCCTTTTTTTTCTGAAACAATTTTTTTTAAAGAAATTTATTTTTGACAAATATTTCAAATTTTAATAATTTCATTTTTTTACGCTATCCCTACCCTAGCTACGCCCTCATAAAAAAAACAAAAAAAAAACTTGTTTTTAAAATATATTTCAAATTTTTAAAATTTCTTTTTTACACTATTCCTACCCAGCAAGCCCCTCAGCGCCCCCTTCCCTGTCCCCCATCAATTTATTTTTAAAAAAAAATATTTTATGTTCAGAAGTGTGGATCAGGTCTTGGGTCAGATCTTAGGGTCAGATTTTGGAATGGTTGTCGGGGTCGTGTCCTAGTTCAGGTGTCAAGGTTGGGTCCTAGATCGATTATCGGGGTTAATTTTTGGGTCAGAAATTATATTCTTAAAGAGTATTTTCTAGTCTCAAGCAAAAAATACAAGATATTTTCTAAAAATGTTTTTCAATCCCAAATCAAACATTAAAAAATATTTTCTACTCACCAACCAAACATGAGAAAATAAGTTAGAAATTCAATAGATCGTTGTCTCCAGATGCACAATGAACTTCTAGTTGAGAAGAAGGCTCATGAGTATTAAGAAAATTCCAAATTCGCACCTCGTACTTCTCTTCATCAATGTTGTAAGGCATAATGATAAATAAAAAGAAGATGATCTTTACTAAGGAGTGATTAACCATTTTGAAAAGTTTTAATTTGTTCATCTAGGTGTTTTTGATGGCATATATGTATTTATGGAAAGAAAAACATTCAAAGGAATGAAATTTATTTTTTGTCTTAATTAATCTTATTAATTACTACAAAAAATTGATCTTCTAATTTGTTTAGTTAGGAAGATTTCTGAATAGGCTATCCATATTGTCACGATCCGAATTAGGTCCGTGACCGGCGCTAAGGGGAAAGAATCCCAAAGCAAACCTTAACATAAATCTACAGAAAATCGGGCAGAATTTCCTTTGTTTTTAGGCCTATTCTGAATTTTTCCTGTCTCATAAATTCACCACATAACCAATAGCAACTATAAGCCACAACATAATATCCTTCAATGATCTAATTGTCACGCAATAAACCCAATTCATCTCCAAATTACAAAAGAGAAGTTCCAAACTAGTCACTTGACTATAATACGAAGGACTAATCATGACTCAAATCAAAGGAATGACAAATGGAGCGACTCTAAGAGTTTTTTAAAGAAACTAAATAAACCATAGCAAATCAATAGTTCTCTTGCCACGCGAAGCAATGCGGAGCTCACCAGATGCTACCAAATCACACTCTCTAGTTAATGAAATCCTCTTCAATACCACCTATCTCTGTAAAAAAATTAGCGAGGAGTGAGACGCTAGCTCAGTGAGTAATAATACTTAACCACAATCATTTTAATGAGGGACAAGTCAGAAAACATGCTAGTATAATAATCAAAATGATGAAATAATGCCTTTTCAGAAACAATACAATATTCAATCTTATGTGCCTCATATAAGCAAAAATTAATGTAAATACTTAATAGTAAACTCAGAAAAACATTTCCATATCAAATCTTATAGCTGGGAGGTTTCCAAGGATGAATCATGTAATCAGTGTGGTCTTCTCTTTAAGAAGTAACCAATAACAGTGAACTCCTCATAAAGGAGTTAAATATTCATATCAGTAGATCCCTACTCGAGGGATATTAGTAACAGTACACTAGTTCTACCTTCCCACTAGCAAGGGCTTTATCAGTAATCAGTAACTACAAGGTGCACCAGGTCTAACGTACCCATCGTTAGCTACGAGATTCATCAAGGTCTACTCCCATTTATATTTTTCTTGTGATTCAGTAGAAGCATTTCAAAATCGAACAAACTATTTAAATCTTATCAAATCATATATCCTTTCAAGTTTAACAATCACCTGTCAAAATACTATTTCTCAAATAAGTGAGAAATATTTTCAATAACAGTAATCATATCTTGTAAGAATGAGATCATCTCAAATAATATTTTTAGTATCATATCCAGTAAAAGACATGTCCCACATGCAAGTTCAAAACAGTCGGTAACACATTTACTTTATACGCCATGTAAAAATCATGAAATTTGTGAAATACAAATTGTGGTAAGATTACTACTCACAGTACTCGTGTTGAGATACCATACTTGTCACCTCAAGCAATCCATTAGTCTTCCTCGATCAATCTATAATCACATCATGATAATCTCGTATTACTTTCTTCGTTTAGGCTAATTCATACTAAATTCAGAATACCCAATCTTCAAGGTTCATGATAGACTCTCAATCTGTCAGTTTATATTAAATAGGTGCTTCAGATCCCGCTAAACAGCCTCATTGATGATTCATTCACACTATAATAAACAAAACTAACCTCAGTGTAAATCAACTCTTC